GAAAGTCCTCTTCCTAAGATTACCAATAAGACAAGGATGCCCACTTCATCATTTCTATTCAAAATAGTATTAGAATATCTAGTCAGAGAAATTTGGCAAGAAAAAGAAATTAAAGGCACCCAAATTAGAAGAGAAAAGAGGCGGAGACAGGAGGATTGCAAGTTCAAGGCCAGCCTCAGCAATTTAGTGAGGCCCTACATAACTTAATGAGAACCTGTCTCAAAATAAAATAAAATAATCTCTAGATGCAGATAACATGATCTTAGTTATAAAAACCGCTGAAACATCCTATGATTAATGAATGATTTTCACTAAGTTGCAGGATTCAAAAAAATACACAAAAAACAGTTGCATGTCTATATACCAACAATGATCACCACTCCAAACAGCAAAGAAAACAACTGCATTTACTATAGCATCAAAAAGAACCAAATAATTAGGAATAAATTTAAACAAATATGAAAGACCTGTACACTGAAAACTACAAAAACACCAAAAAAAATTAAAGGAGACACAAATAAATGGAAATTCCATGTCATGGATTAGAAGACTTTAATATTGCTAATATTGACAATACTACCCAAAGTTATCTACAGATTCAATGCAATCCCTATTATAATCCCTAAAGTGGTTTTTTTTTTTGAGGGCGGGGTAGGGGTTGTCAGGGATTGAACCCAGGGGTGCTTTATCACTGAGCCATAACCCTAGCCCTTTTTATTCATTTTTTTTTTTTTTTATTTTAAGTTGCTGAGGCTGGCCTCAAACTTGTAATCCTCCTGCCTCATTCTCCTGAGTTGCTGGAATTACAGGTGTGAAGCTACTACACCTGGAAAGCTGCTCACTATTGATCTGGAATTTGAATCTACCTCCATGTCCATACTTCCCCTGGCTACCCTGAGAAGTGACAGGGAAATCCCTAACAGTCCTGAACTAGGGTCTTCCATTCCTTTTCAGACTGGAGTCCAACAGATTGAGAAGCTTCCCACATCACACACCACACAGTTGAATGATGGTGTTGAGCTAAATATTTAATCTAAGGGCTGGGGTTGTGGCTCAGCAGTAGAGCGGGCACCTAGCACATGTGGGGCCCTGGGTTCGATCCTCAGCACCACATAAAAATAAATAAAAATAAAAAAGTTATTGTGTCCAACTACAACTAAAAAATAAATATAAAAAATATTTAATCTAAGCCTCAGTTCGCCCAACCTATAAAATGGGTGTGTGTGATGGATCTCAAATTGTGGTCTAAGGACCAGCAGAAAATACAGAATCCCACCCTAGACCTCCAGAACAAGTACCTGCATTTTAAGAAGATTCTTATGTAATTTAGTGTACATGGGAATTTTGGGGGATGGTGCATCAAGACTCACTCAAGAGTAGAATCAGGAGGTATCAGAACAGAGTTGGGCTGCTTCAGTGATGCATCTATGTGCCACAACAGCCTTCAGTGGGCACTCCAAGGGGCATTTTTACACCCCCACACAAGGGTATGTGCATGGTGTGCTGCCATACTGTGGAAGCAGCTCTTGAGGTTCTCACTTGAAGACCTCTCAATGTGCCTGGACATCCTTGCCCTTGATGCTTTCTATGCCAACTCTACTGATTCTTGGCAGGTTTGTGGGCAGATAGGTGGGTGAACAGACAGGCTAGATCTGTCAAGTTCTGAAGGTGCTTTGAGAGGAATAAACAGTGTATATCTGCCCAGAATGGTGCCTGGCACACAGCAGGTCTACTGATGAGGGCACCTCACCCTCTGAAATGAATGACCACTTCTTCTCATAGGCTTGTGAAAAATGACTGTCCTAAGTGGATATAAAGCCACTCAGTCCATTTCAAAAGCTGTGTACCTCATGGTAATTAACTTTTGTGGGGGAAAAGAGGATGACATTTAGCCAGCGAACCTCTCTGATGAAGTAACTTTTTATCAAAATTGCCTCCTGAGGACACTGACCTTGAAGGCCAAGTTCCACAATGAGTTCCCCAAAAGCTGAGTCATTTATCCTCAGCAGATGGGGAAAAGAATTAACTGAGATAGAAACGCATCAGAACCTTCTATGCTCTGGGTCCAGAGGTTTCCAGGCACACCCTGCCCTCCTTCTATTATCGTCAGTCACCTTGGTTATTAGATCAAGGTGTTCCCCCTTACTGGAGACTGAACCCAGGGTCTCGCATATGCTAGGCAAGTACCCTACCACTGACTTACAGCCCCAACCCTTTTAAATTTTGAAACAGGGTCTCACAAAATTGCCCAGGATGGCCTCAAACTTGTAATTCTTCTGCCTTAGCTTCCCAAGCAGCTGAGTTACAGATATGCACCACCTTGCCTAGTTCCTTTCACTTTGTGTGGCAGGGTGTGTGGGGGTGTTACTGGTAATTCACTCTACCACTGAGCTATAGCTCCAGATCTTTATTACTTTTTGAAGACAGGGCCTCATAGAACTGCACAGTATGGCATTGAATTTGCAATCCTCTTGCTTCAGCCTCCTGAGCTGCTGGGTTACAGGCATGTACCACCATGCGTGGTACATTTTTAACATGTAATTGTGTATTTCCCAAAGTAAATCAAGTCACATACTTTTGTGACAACTACTCTGGTCTTTTTATCTTCAAATGGGCTAGACTTCCTCCCTGCAGGGAATTCACGTGTGGTTCTCTTTACCAGAATTGCTGCCTACCCTCTTTATATATGTTCACTGCCTAATACATTACCTTCACTCCTGTTCCCAGCTGAGTACCTGCTCCCAACAGGCTCAAGTGCTGACAAGACAGATGGCTTAAGCCCCAGTGTGTGGAGCCAACTGGAACTCAGTGCAACTTGATTCCTGGTCTCCATAAAACTCCTATGTTCACAGACCATGTCTTCTTTACCCAATTCTATACCCTTGCACGTGGCCCAGACATACAGGGGCTCATTCAGGCTTAAGCGTATGAAACTGTGCTAGCCCAGAGTAAAGATGAGACTGAACTCCCACCCTTTCTGCCTAAAGCCTGAGGCTTCAAGTATGTGCTGCCCTCTTCTTCCTTTCTAGGCCTACATGACCCAGTGCCTCCTGGCCCTAGGGTAGCCCCTGGTTCATGTGTCCATCTTGTATATACCCTCATCCCAGGCCTGTCCTGTCCTACTTTGGATACATTTGTGTGAGGTTAAGACCAAGGCTTCATTCAGAAATCTGAGACTGGTTTTCTTTTCTCCTTTTCACTTTTTCCCCCATTGGTAGACTATAATTATACTTAATAATGGAAATCCTTTGATAAGCCCTTATTTCTTCATGACATCAGACATGACTGGGCTATGTGGGTACTGAATGAGCCCTGTACACTTTCCCTCTAGACTCAAGACACGGGAAGGGGAAGGCCCCTTCCCATTCTCTCCACTGCCACGAATTAATTCAGACTCAACAAAGCACAAGGCCTGTTGCAGATCAGAGAAGAACACAGCACAAGCACAAGCATCCCTGATAGCATCCACCCCTGAGATGGTAAAAGACAAGTAGCATCAGTTACTCCCCCAGATTGGGCAGCCAGGCCAACTGGCCCTACACTGCCAGATAGGCCAGAGTCCAAACATTGCCCATTGACTTCACCTTCACTAGGTAACTTCCTCATCCAGATCATGGAAACAGCCACCCCAAGGGCTGCTTTGAGTTAGGAGGAAGGAATGTACACATGAACAGATAATTACCATGCCTTCACCTGAGCCCCTCAGCTATGGTCCAGACCCTGACATAAGAACACAGTAGAATGCCAGCTCCATGCCTGTCCATCTTATCTCCCCCAAAGAATCTGACTAGAGAAACCCAACCTTCTCTCCACCAGGGTGGTTCTGGAACATACACCCTTAGCAGAGTGAATGAAGTGACAAGGTCTGAGACAAAACCCATAGGAACCAGTTATGTATCATCTTAGAGCACAGAGTAGCTGCAACACCCAAATTAGCTCACTATTCCCAGCATTCCCAATAAGACAGAATAGGAAGACTAAGCCAAAGCACTAGAAGCACTCTTTGCCTATCTCCCCTTCTATGATGTGGGCTCTGCAGTTCTGACAGTCATCTATTTCCCAAAAGATGCTCATGGAATTGCTCTTATCTGCAGCTCCACTGACTGCTTTTCCTTCTAAATGTATCTGAGCTGTCAGGCTGTAAGAATGCTGTGGTGTTGCCCTGGCGGCTCTTACTCACTCCCACCAACAGCCTGTCCCTATGCCATACACCCTGACTTCCTAGAAATCCTCAGGATTTAACAGAAGGGCAGAGATTGTGAAGACCCCAAAGCTCAGATCCTGCAAACCCTGTACCACTACACCCTAACCATAACCAAAGCCCAGTCTCAGATTCAACACTTCCCTACTTCTCCCAGTTCCCACTCCTTGTCACCTGCCCCCAGCCTACCCTTGTAATGCTTCAGGTAACTATGAGGTTAACACTATAAAAAGCGGAGCAATCCAGCCCTGAAGCCAGCAGATAATAGAAATTAAGAGGCCCAACCTTCAGGCTGGGAATGCAGCTGGGTACTCAGGTTAAGACACAGGAAGAGATGCAATAGGTATGCATCTTGTACTACCACTTGTGTATCTGAAATACAGACAACAACTGACACATGAGTTATCATCTGGGAAGGGAAAGGGAGATAGCTGCCCTGAATCCTCTGAGGGGTGGGCAACATTCTCCTCTATCTAAATGAGCGTGCATTGGGTAAGGGGCAATCCAAGGCTTGTGGTAAGGAAAATCTGTCTCCTAGGTTGCAGGTACATCTATCAGCCTGAACCACATGGTAAGGTTGCAGCAGCAGGGCAGAGGCTCTAGGCCAGCCTAGCCCCATGCTGAACCAACTGGACCAGGACAGGCTTTTCTTAGCAGTTGGCTTTGCACAACTGACATCTGCTGGTCATATGAGGCACTGCATGCAGCAGCAGCTAGGCACCACCACCTTCTGAAGTTTCCCATCTTCCAAGGTTTTGGGAAATAGTCCCTTCCCACATACCCAGAGGCACAACCTGAGGCAGCTGGAACTGTTATTCTATTAAGGGGCAAATGGCAGCTTGGCAGATCTGGAGGGTCCAGAGCCTCCCCAGAGTTCAGTCTATCCAGTTAGCAAGCACAGGAGTGTGCGCACATGAAGTGTGGGAAACCCACTCCATCCAGGCAAGGAAGCCCAATCCACTTCGAACTCAGGCCCAGGCAATCTCAGGAGGGCATGGCTGTTGGTCTGGATTTCCTTCCTCTGTGCTTGAAGTTGTGCAGTGGGTTCTGGGTCTTCACTTTCTACATGGGCAAAGTAGCAAGTTAGTTGGAGGAATCAGACCAATCATCCAAACACAGACACAAAATGGACAGTGCTGGTACTTGGTAAGAACCCTGTCAGCCATAAGCCAATGATAATGCAAGCTGCTATGGATACTGTGAGGAAAAAGGACAACTGAGGATAGAGAGCAGGGCCTGTGACAGTCAGGGAGGTAACCCCAGCTCACACTCCAGTTTTTGGGAGCACTCTCCTCATCCTGAGGGCAAGGCATCTGTATGTCCTGGTGACAACAAAGGGGCAAGGTGGAGCAAGGGTCCTGTTGCTGACCCGCAGCCCTCAGGGCACATACCTTAGCCTTCCTACAGGAGGACAGCTTCTTCCGCTTCTTGTGAGGGCGTACTAGGTCACGAAGAGCAGGAGGGACTGGAAAAGAAGCAGGTCTTCAGCAGAATCCTCACCCAACCCACAAACACCAGCCTCCACAGCCACCCCCACCCCATGAAATATGGTTCCATTACTCTGAGAGGCTCTTGGTCCTCCCTCCAGCTTTCCCAGTATTATCCCACCCCCTTTCTCAGCATTGCCTCCCCCGCAAACTCTGTAGCATATTCTTTAATTCTGATCCAAGAGTCTACAGCTATTCATTATCGCATATGCACTGGGTCAGAGAATGTTAGCACCTTAGACTTTCACTGTCTAAATCACTCTTAAATAGTATTTAAACTTATTGCAATGAACATGTAACAAGAAAGAAAAATAGGGGCTAGGGTATAACTCAATGGTAGAATATGTGCTTAGTATGTGGGAAGGAGGAGGAAGGAAAATAATGTCAAGAAAAACTGAGCCAAAATTAAAAAGGCTGGACAATTTCTTCACATATGTCCCTTACTACAAATTCACCAGCCCCTACTGCTTCCGTCCCCATACCTGACCTTGACCCTGCCCTCATACCCACTACCCTGGCCTCCTCCCCCGAGACAGGCCACAACTGATTCCTTCCACTTTCCCCTGGCTTCTGGACTCCTGGCCACATCCTCTTGGTGAGTGACTTTGCTCCTACCAGGCCCCTTAGGTCAAAGCTCTGGCCTCCCCTCCTGGCATTTCAGACCACAGCTGGAGTCTCCTCCAGCTCACTATCCCTTGGAAGCCTGGCTTCTATCCCTCCCTCTAGCATCTCCATGCTCCCATCTCTCCTAGGCCCTTCCTTTCCCACCATTCAGGCCTTTCCACTTCCAAGGCAGGAATATCACATCACACCTGCCAGTTTGCTTCAGTTCAGGCAGACCAGAGCCCATGCATGGGGAGGGCCTATATTCGTTGCCCATGGCACATCCTTGCCACTCTCCTTAAACCCAATTTAAGCATATAATATACTCTCATTATCAAAAATACACACATGGACAATAGAAGCTTATGTGAGATGAGAAGGGTCAGCCAGGATGAATGGCTGCTCCCCATTCCTGTTTCTGCCCTGCAGTGTCTATCTCCCTGTCATCTGCTCTTACCTAGACACTCCACAGGTGTCCAAGCCATTACTTCCGTGCCTGACAATCCAGAGTCTGCTCCAGCATAGGAAGATTTGCCTCCCACCCAGGATGTTCCCCAAAACCTGCTCACTCTCTTCAGCACACAAAGCCATTCAACCAACTACTAGCTCATTCTGTCATTCCACCCTGCTCTGCAAGACTGCCTGGCTCAAATCTTAGATCTGCCATCATCTCTGCACTACCTGTTTTCTTATCTCCACAAAGGAGACAGTACACCCTATGGGGTGAAGTGGGCAAGTCTACATGTGTGAACACATACTGTGTACTTGTTTGTGTGGATACACGATGTGCTACCTGGGTCTCTATGTCCTATTACTTGCCTGTCCCACAAGCTTCCTCAGCACCGAGCATAGGAGCTGTCACACAATGGCAGAAGAACCCCTGCCATGTCCCCCAGCCCACTGCCTCCCGATCCCTCAGTGACACTCACCCAAGTAGTCAGGTACATGGCCCAGGTGAGGTTTCACGACTGCAGGGTGCAAGGGCAGGTCATGTCGCAGCAGCTGGAGATCCCTGGGATTGTCTTCAAAGTATGTCTGACAGTGGGCAGAGAGTTTGGCGGAGTTAGTATCTTTTTTTTGTGACTTTGCAGACTTTGTGACTTTCTTTCACTTAGCATTGAGGTTCTGAGGTTTGTTTTTTAATTTATTTTTGCGGGGGTGGGGAGTTTTGAGAATCAGACCCAGAGCACTGTACACATTAGGAAAGCACTCTACTACCAGCCAATTTTTTTTGTTTGTTTGTTGGAGTCTGTGTCTTGCTATATTGTCCACGCTGCTCCTGAACTCCTGGGATCAAGCAATCTTCCTACCTCAGACTCCTGAGTAGCTGGGAGCACAAGCATGCCACCATACCTGGCCAAATGGAGTTTTTTTTAAACCTTTGTTATCTATCTATCTATTTATTTTTATGTGTTGCTGAGGATGGAACCCAGGGACTCAAATGCGCTAGGCGAGTGCTCTACCGCTGAGCCATAACCCCCCAAATGGATTTTTTTTATAGTTGATAATTTTAATGTAATATTTTATAACTTTAAATTTTTTAAATTTTTTATTGATTTTCTTTTTATACATGACAGCAGAATGCATTACAATTCATATTACACATATAGAGCACATTTTTTCATATCTCTGGTGGTATATAAAGTATATTCACACCAATTCGTATCTTCATACATGTACTTTGGATAATAATGTTCATCACATTCCACCATCATTTCTAACCCCCTGCCCCCTCCCTTCCCCTCCCACCCCTCTGCCCTATCTAGAGTTCGTCTATTTCTCCCATGCTTCCCTTCCCTACCCTACTATGAATCAGACTCCTTATATCAGAGAAAACATTCAGCATTTTTTTGGGATTGGCTAACTTCATTATCTTCTCCAATGCCATCAATTTACCTGAAAATGCCATGATTTTATTCTTTTACTGCTGAGTAATATTCCATGTGTATATATGCCACATTTTTTTAATCCATTCATCTACTGAAGGGCATCTAGGTTGGTTCCAATCAAACTACTCTAAGATTTCATCCTACTCCTGTCAGAATGGCAGCTATTATGAAGACAACACTAAGTGTTGGAGAGGATATGGGGGAAAAGGTACACTCATACATTGCTGGTGGGACTGCAAATTGGGGCAGCCAATATGGAAAACAGTATGGAGATTCCTTGGAAAACTGGGAATGGAACCACCATTTGACCAGCTATCCCTCTCCTTGGTCTATACCCAAAGAACTTAAAAACAACATACTACAGGGACACAGCCACATCAATGTTTATAACAAATAGAGCTTTTTAAAGGACAATATACCCATGTGTTTTAAAATTTATAAGGCATAAGAGATGACACAGTGAAAAAAGTTTCCCTACCATTTTTGTTTGCATCACCCTCCCTGCCCAGAGGCAGCTACTATTGCTAGTTCCATGAATTCACCTGAGTCCTAGCACGTGGACAAAGAGTCCATTACATGTTCACTCTCACTCCTCTCTGACCACACAGCAGCACCCTGTGCTGCTTTCTTTCAGTTAGCATCATTTTACAGAGTATTCCTAGGTATACACAAATAGCCTCCTCATTGTTTCTTATGTCTGTGTGAGCTTCAGCTGAGGCTGCACTTTCATTTATTTGGTAAGCCCCCTGGAGTCAACTCTGGGGCTCCTTCCATCTTCTGACTCCCTAAAAATAATGTGATGAATGGGAATATACACATTCACTAATATGCCCAGAGGAAGAGAACTTGAAATCCTAATAAACACTGAGTGCCCACATGAGGTTGTGCCATTTGTCTTCCCAACAAAATGGTTGGCTCCTTTCAAAATCTCTTGGCCAGTTTTCCTCTCCCTACCAAATGCCAACACACAGCCCGGTTCTCTGATTCTCACCACTCAGAGCTCGGCATCCAAAGCACTCTCCTAAGTTTGCCCACCCTATCCTTACCTTAAGTTTCTCTGAATGCAGAAGTTCCTCCTTAATCTCCTTTAGTCTTGCCTCCCGAATGGACTGCTTAGTTACTGAGCGCATGGCATCCTGTAGGCAGACATTGGTGATCAGATGGTGAGATTTCCCAAGTCCTTCTCACACCTGGATACGCATCCATAGGTGTCATCCCTGTTATCACAATCATAGCCCGCCCCAGCCACTCCCCATCCTCTCCCCAGTGTCCAGCTCACCCTGCATCTATAGCGGAAACCCTCAATCTCCTCCATTCGGAACTGGTAGGGAAGCAGGACCGGGGCCTCGCCCTCTGGGGAAGAGACAGCAAAGGGACTCAGGACAGAATCCATTTAAGGTCTTCACTGGAAGTTTCCTACTCCTTCTCCCTGAGGTGAGGCTGATCCCTGAGAGGCCAAACACACAATTTCATTGTTTCATGGGCAGCCTAGTGATGGTATGGACAGGAGTGTATATTCCTAAGTCCTGTGTGCCATCACATCCCTCAGTTCCAGGACCCACTGCCCACTCTCCCTTCCTCTTCCAAAGTTGCTCTGGGCACAAGGCCCCCACAACGATGGTCATGGACTGCAGTCCAGGCACAGTTAGTACCTTGGAATGAGCTGTCAGAGCAGTACATCAAATCACTCACCAGTCATGAGGCAGACAGTAAATGTGATTTTGTTTTTAATTTGTTAGTAAACCTGACTTTGAATGGACATATTTACTTATTTGTAAAGGGAGATAGCATGTGTCACACAGCACAGGATGAGGATGAACAGTGGAGGCTGCCTATTGTCACTATTATGAGTTTGTTGTGGGAGAAGCCTGGTCCTCACCCAGGCCCATACCAATAAGAGTCAGGACTCTTACCTCCACAGAGAAGTTCCTCTATCTTGCCCAAGTGTGACTGCTCTGTGGGTAGCACAAATGTCAAAACTATGCCTGGGTTGTTGGCTCGCGCTGTCCTGCAAGGGGAGATGACCTAGCTGAAATGTATCTCTGACATTTAAGCTCTATCCAGCCCACCCCAAGTCCTTCAGCATGCCCATCACCTAGATGCTAGGCCCACCACATTCCTCCCTACCTGCCAGCTCGATGGATGTAGGCCTCCGGGGTGGAGGGGAGATCAAAGTTGAGCACAGCAGACACATGGTGGAAGTCTATGCCCCGGGCCACACCTGACTCTGGATCAGAGGCCCTGTGAAAATAACCCAATGTCAGCCAGACCCATCTCTGGGAGGGCACTCTCAAGCTTAAGCCAAAAAAACCCCCTCTAAGCAAAACCTAAAGACCATAAGACCCTGGTATATGCAAGACTATTCTACATCAGAACTATTTCAGGAGTTGTGGCCTTGTGGATCAGCCTAAAGCTTTGAAATGTGGTCAAACCCTTGCCCTGACCTCAGTTTTGGGGCAATGACAGAACTCTCTGCCCCACAGAGTGAATTGAGAACTACCTCTGGAACAATTCACTCTTCAGGTGGACAGACTAGGGGACTTCCATTTTTCCCTTAAAAACATACACCCTGTAAGACGCAGCCACATGCACTTCAGGCTGGCTGTCTCCCCTGTAGGATAGCACATGCCAATTTCCCAAGCCCAGTCTGACCCTTGGTGCCCTTTATTCCTTGTTACGATTTTGATATGAAGTGTCCTTCAAGAGCTCATGAGAGAGACAATGCAAGAAGGTGTAGAGGTGAAATGATTGGATATGAGTCAACATAATTTATACATTAATTCCCTGATAGGACTGACTGGATGGTAACTATAGGCAAAATAGGGTGTGCTAGAAAAGATGGGTCATTAGGGTTATGCCTTTGGGTATGCATTTTGTCCCTGAAGAGAGAAGCTTTCTCTCTCTGCTTCCTGGGTGCCATGTTCCCAGCTGCTTTCACCTACCACACTCTTCTGTCATGTGGTTCTGCTCCAAAGAATGGAGCTGGCTCTCTATGGACTGAGACCTCTAAAACCATGAGCCCCAAATAAACTTTTCTTCCCTAAATTTTTCTGATTAGGTCTTTTGGTCACAGTGGAAAAAAAAAAGCTGGCTAAAACACTCCCCTTCTCCATACTCAAGTAGCTAAGCAAGGGCCAGTGGAGCTCTCTGCGATATGCTACCAAACATCTGGAATGTCTGGCATCCTGCTCTGTGTACTCTTAGCTTCAGTCTTCCAAAAAGCTGAAAAACAGGCACCTCTGAAGAAGAGGTCAGAAAAGAAATGCAAACTCACTTGTTTCCTTTGGACCCTCGTCCCTGCCGCTTGCCCTTGGCTGGGGCCCCCAGGACTTCAGCATCTGTTGCTATAACACAGTCATAGAAGCCTTGGTTGAACTGTGAGATGATGTGGCACCTGTAGACCAAGAGATGGGATCAGCCCAGCAGGGTGTGTGGGAGGCCCACTCCCATCCCTGGCCATCATCATAACGACTGCCCTTTCCTATTTTGTCCTCCTCTCAATCTCTTTCTCCTTAATCTTTGTACCTCAATTTCCTCAGATGAAAATGGAGTAACAGTAAGTATTCCAGAGTTGTCAGAAATAACTACCAGTCAAGCTCAGGCCTAGCCCCACTATTATACTCAAGAAACATAAACATCAGTTGGTTTCCTTTTCCATCCCTATCTTCAACTTATTTCTACCAAGACATGGGCCATGACAAACCTGGAGCGCAGGGGAAGTTCTCCATTGAGTACGCAGGTGGGGATGCTGAACTGCTCTAGGAATAGACGGAGCCGGTAACTCCGCTCTAGAGTATTGACAAAGAGCAGGGACTTGCCCCGAATCAATGATAGCTTGAGCAGAGCATACAGCAGCAAGAATTTGTCTTCTTCACTCTCACAGACTACCTGAAACTGCTGTAACTGGTCTGATCCTGGAAGCTGAGACTCTTGTAACTTGAGGGTAACCTGAGGAGAGAAAAGGCCTGTAGTAAGGACGAAAAACAGATATTCTATGGCTACTAACTCACCAACAAAAGCATCATTTTAGTGCAGGGCATGGATATGTTTAAGGATTTCTGGCATGCTAAAATTCCTGTAGTTTTGCAATCTAAAAACTCAAGTGCCCTAACTTTGGGATATACAGAAAGGGGGGAAAAAATAAACAATCCACAAAGCACATGATGCATACGACAAAGAGAAATACATTGATAAATTACAATAGCGAGTATGGAAAGCCTACAGCAACAGGTCTTCTGAAGGGTAAAATTCAGAAATTCTGAAAGGTAAAATATAACATTGAAAGCTTTGGCCTTAGAATTTTGGCTTTGCCACTCAAAGCAGATAGTGGGGGCAGGGTATAAGGAAGGAACCTTCCTTAGGCTTTTAGACAAAGTATAGTTTGAACTGGGACACCCAGAAATATATTGTGATTTTTATTTTAAAATATTTTAAATGTCAATGGACCTTTATTTATTTATATGCAATGCTGAGAATTGAACCCAGTGCCTCACACATGCTAGGCAAGCACTCTACCACTGAGCCACAACCCCAGCACAATATTAGTAAATTTTAGATGACTGTCTTTCAGTGCCTCAGACCAGGAATGACATATCCAATGACAATGGTCCCACCCAAAACACCAAAGGACCTCAGAAGGAGCATCAAATCCTCCAAGTGTTCCCATGTCTACAGCTCCAGATATTCCCACAGCATCCCTTACCGGATTATGTAGTACCAGTTCCTTTAATGCTTGTATATCCTCATTAAATGTAGCTGACATGAGAAAAGCCTGGTAAATCCGGGGCAAGTGACTAAAAGAAAAAAACCTAGTCAGGCTCCTACTCCAAGGACCTCTAAATGTGGTCTCAAAGACATTTCCACTAGGAAACTACACCACTACCACCACCATCACCATTTCTTCCTCACCAGAGTAGACTCTTCAGTTCTTCCTCAAAGCCAAAGGAAAAAATAAGATCAGCCTCATCCACCACCAGCAGCTCCAGGGAGTCACGCAGTTTCAAGTTGTCTTGTTGCAAGTGGCTTAATATACGGGATGGGGTCCCCACCACTACATCTGGCTTCTCCATCAGTACAGCTCTACAGGTGGTAAGAAATGGGTATCAAGAAGAACTTGGCAGCTGGAACTTCACCTTGGACCTGTGCTTTCTCCTACTACACACAAACCCATCCTACATCTTTGTGTAGCTTCATTCCCTTTCACTCACCGCTGAGAAGCTGAGTCTTCAGCAGCTGAGACATTGGCCACCCGCACATCCCGAGAACAGTAGGCAGACAGCTGCTGAATCATGGACTGAGCTTGCCGTGCTAGCTCCTTGGTAGGAACAAGGACAACTCCCCTTACAGCCTGTTCCACCACAGGACCTGTCTGTAAGACCATAAATTACAGGTTAAAGCCAGCAGTGAATATCAATGGACCCAACCAATGCTTTTCTCTATCTTTTCCAGGCAATCTGGTCCAACCACAATCCTGCCCATACAACAACCTGTGTTCTGATCATCCCCTCATTCTGCCCACCTCAGAAAATAAAATGGAGGGCTTTCCCTGGGTGCTGACAGAAGAAAATAACTTCCTTAGTGTGTAATGAAGTTACTGTGTGTTATGAAGTTATGAACGCTAGGTATGAACCTGTACTCTCACAATAACTCTGCAAGTAGAAGATGTGCCTGGCCCCTTTTCATTGAGGAAGGAAAGAAAGTGACTGTAATGTTATTTCAAGATTACACCAAGCTGATGGTAGAGGAGCACGTCCTGGATTAGGATCCAGGTAACCTAAAGCCCAACCCAGAACGTTTGCCACAATGGGACCCGACTGATTCTATGATCCAAGAGAAAACCTCGTACAAACTGGGACCTCCCTTCCCAGCCTCCCGTCCGGCCTCTGACTACCCACCGCCTTCCTGTGGAGCAGCAGCTGTAGCATCGGAATAGCATAAGCAGCTGTCTTCCCGGAACCAGTGCGGGCCCGGGCCAGGAGGTCTTTCCCCTCTAGGGCTAGCGGGATAGCCTTTTCTTGAATCAACGTAGGTCGCGACCATCCCAGATCGGCGACAGCCTGAGAGACAGACGAAGAGTGCGGTTCAAGCGGTGCGGAGGGCAGTGGCGTGCCCTGAGAGCCCTTAAGCCGGATTCTCGGGTCCCCAGCCCTCCCTGGTACCTGCAAGAGCCGGGGATCCAGGCCCATGTGTTCAAAGCCCAAGGACTCTGAGTCCGCCATGGCGTGGTTCGGGACTGACAACGAGCACGCACAGCAAGAAGAAAGCAAGGACACGGGCGGGGCGACTCAAAGCAACAACCAATCAAGCTCAGAGAAACCGCCACTTTCCGGAAGTCCCGTCTCTCAGGTTTCCGGTGTTCGGGGGAGGTCAGAAGTAGGGCTGCTGGTTGCTCGCCTCGAATCTCGCGACGCAAACGCTCACCCGGATTTTTTTCTGCACTTTCTAGCTCCCGCGACTTTCAGGAATAGCGTTAGCGGGACTTTCTCCGGTTGGGTGCTGTTAGAATCCAGCCTTAGTGTGGCGCAGCAGTCTTCGCGGAGCCACTGAGGCCATTTGACGCGCTGCGGGCAGATCACTGCAGTAGCGCTCAGGGGAAGGGCGGTGGTCTGGAGATCCCAGACCTGGCTGTCGTCAGGCTCTTGATAGACTACAGTTCTATGGATCACTAGTTTACCACTAGTTTCACAGGGTTAAAATCAAGGTATCGGACTTTTGACCTTCAGAGATATCAAGATAACGTTTGTTGTTTAAAGCCACTCCGTTTGTGATAATTTGTTACAGCAGCAGTAGGAAACAAATACAAGAAGCCTTAGCACAAGCTTTAAAAGTGGGAGAGGCCTGGCGGGGTGGCTCACGCCTGTAATCCCAGCGGCTCGGGAGGCCGAGGCAGAAGGATCTCGAGTTGAAGCCAGCCTCAGCAATTTAGCCAAGCGCTAAGCAACTCAGTGACCCTCTGTAAAATACAAAATGGGGCTGTGGCTGTGGTTGAGTGATCGAGTGCCCCCCGAGTTCAGTCCCCCGTAACGACAAAAAATGGTGTAAGAGAAGCCGGGCCTGGTAGTGCATGCGTGTAATTCCAGTAGCTGAGGAGGCCGAGCCACGAGTTCAGAGCCAGCCTCAACAATTTAGCAAGGCTCTAGGCAATTGAGTGAGACCCTGTCTCTATTTTTAAAAGGGATGGGAGGCAGGGGTTGTAGCTCAGTGGTAGAGCGCTTGCCTAGCACATGAGGCAGTGGGTTTGATCCTCAGCACCACGTAAAAATAAATAAACGTATTGTGTCCATCTACAATTTAAAAAGTTCCTTATTTTTTTAGTTATAGGTGGACCCAATATCTTTATTTTTATGTGGTGCTGAGGATTGAACCCAGTGCCTCATGCATGCCAGGCAAATGCTCTACCTCTGAGCCACAACCCCAGACCCTTAATCAATTTTTCAAAAAAGGGTGAGGGGCTGGGATTGTGGCTCAGAGGTAGAGCGCTCACCTAGCAGGGCGGGACCCGGGTTCCATCCTCAGCACCCATAAAAATAAAGGCATTGTGTTGTGTCTATCTACACCTAAAAAAAAAAAAAAAAAAAAAGTGGGGGAGTGAAGTGCCCCTGGCTTCACTCCCCGGTACCAAAAATAAATAAAAATACAAGAGGTAAGCTGCAGATAAGATTCTAGGACTCAACCCACTAGTGTTGGCTTTGTAGATGGAAATGGGGTGACAAGACAAACTGTCCAAGTGGACAGGGATGGATTATTTACAAGTCATCAGACCTTTGTGTTCATATTAGGTTCACCCAAATGGCCCAGGATAATCTTACTATTTTAAAATCATCTGATTGACAACCTTAATTGATAGGTTAACTGTCACAGATTTCTAGAACTAGGACATAGACACATTTGGGGGGCCATTATTCTGCCTACCATTACACCCAAATACAAACCTGATAAATCAAATTGGATCTTAGCGTTTCCCAGGAGTTTACCTTGAGCTTCCAGGGTCATTCTGTGCATCCAGCTCCCCTGATCCAACATTTGAATACCAGAGACAACAGGTTGTTGAGAATAGTTTATGTATCACAAGTACCCAGGCTGAGACCAAATGATGAAGATAGGTACAGCTTAACATAAGGGGAACCAGGCTAGGATAACAGTGAATGTTAAGAATGTGTGCTCCCCAACCCACACTTTCTTTTTCCTGGTAAAATAGGAGAGAAGGGTCAGGTGCGGTGGCACATGCCTGTAATCCCAGTGGCTCAGGAGACTGAGGCAGGAGGATTGCAAGTTCCCTTGTGTTAATTCTAACATGGAAACTGAAAAGCTATTTTAAAAATCTGAAGAATTTTCACTGGACTATATTATGTGGCACCCAGAATTAATATGTCAAATTTTTTTTTTCATTTCTTTGCCACCTCTTTGCAAACTAGAATTCTTAAAATGAAAACCCAATAGAGGGGCTGGAATTGTGGCTTAGAGGTAGAGCTTGCTTGGCATGTGTCAGGCTCTGAGTTCGATCCTCAGCACTACATATAAATAAATAAAATAAAAAGATCCATTGACAACTGAAAAAAAATTTTTTTATAAATTACATATTTTTTTTAAAGAATAAAACTAAATAACTATTGAATAGTGTGGGACACAAAGAGAAATAACAAGGGAAGAATTTAGTTCTGTAGGTCAAATAAAGTAATTTAATAAATAATATTCCAAATATATTTATAATAAAATTATGAAATAAAATGTCAGGAATGGGCAACTAATAATAAAGTTTTTATACAGAAGAAGGGCATCATTAGCTGTTCAAATTTATGATTCAGGGGCTAAGAAACCAAGTACATAAGTTTCCTCACATGTCCTTGCTGAAATGTTCTCCACTTGGTCGGCCTGAGAATGGTTAAGGAACCACTCTGTCCACTCTTAGTTTCCCAGAAAGAGGTCCATCCAAGCCAAGCCCTAACACAGTCCACACTAAGGTCCATACCAGATCACCCACCCTGGCTGACCAAGAATTTTTCCTCTTTCCCTTTTTGCTTCTCCTCTGCCCACAACCTCTTATTTCATCTCAAACACAACTACTGTAAGACGTTTTATTTAATTGGAAAAATCTGAATAAAGAACCAATTTCGTTCCCTTGAAGAAAACATTACCACAGCTTAAATAAATTGGGAAGACGGGGGATAAGAGTGCACTGTCCATACTGGCTCTTTCACTGTCTTACCTGACTCTGAGGCCCTATCAGATGGGAATCACAGGTGTCCAAGAGAATTCTGCTAGGCCTTCTAATATGGCCTTGAGAACAGCTGTTAACATCTGCTTCTGGCCCACAGACTGCTGAAATCCTGAGAGCTGCCATGGCAGTTATAAAAACGTGTGAATAAACAGAATGCACAAGGACTAGATTGGTGTTTTCAGCTAGTTACAGGCAGTAACACTTCAACTAGGAAGGAAAATATATAATTTATCAAAAAATAGTTCTAATATATAGAAAAACATCTCAATCCTCTGGGGCCAAGACCTGCCCCTTATTTACATTCACAAAGCCATTGAGTGAACCAAGTAACTGGCTAGGGAACAGTGAGGCAAGGCCTCCTTTGTGGGGTATGCCAGTTACCTACTGTGTAATCAGATGAAGAAAAAACAGAAGGTCATTTGCTCATTTTTTGAGAGGACAGGGGAATCATTGGAGGCAAAAGAGACAAGACTTGTCTTGTATTAGTTTCAATTCCTTATAAGCCCTAAAATAGAATTTGAAATCTTGGACCAATGTCCTGTGTCCATGAGAATCAAGGTTAAACAAGTTACTGATCAGAATGGTTTGTTGCCATACTACCAACATGTCCTATTCTTTTGCATTTTTTTCCCCCTCAAAATCCAGGTGGTTAAGGGATTGGTTGGAGAAAGTACCAAAGAACTAAAGTACAAAGGGTCATACAGAGAGGACACTACACCAGCTTCTTGGCCTCAAAGAAGCTCTTGAGATGACGCATCTGCCAAATGCCAGTAAGGATAAGGATGACTGTCTGAGCGATGGACCACCACAGGACCCTCTGGTTGGTACTCTCACTGGTCAGACGGAAGCGTTCTTCACGATACTGCATGGGGTAACAGGCACAAGGTTAAATGAGCAGGAGAAATTATCCTGAAAATTGTGAGTGACTGCTTAATTCCAGGACCAAATACCTTCTGGAATATCACCTGTGATTCCATTAGGGGTGCCACAGTCTCCCCAAACATAAAAACTGTCTCAAGGAAGGAACAGTGCTGTCGCCTCCACAAGCATCTCTGCTGGGACTGAAATCATGCTCCTTTTACAAGGTCCTAAGCTACTCAGCAAGATCTTGACCTTAAATAAAATATATTTTTAAAAAAGGAGCTGGGGAAGCCGGGCTCAGTGGCACAAGCCTGTAATCCCAGCATCTCAGGAAGCTGAGACAGGAGGATAACAAGTTCAAAACCAGCCTCAGCAAGGGCAATGTGCTAAGCAACTCAGTGAGACCCTATCTCTAAATACAATACAAAATAGGACTGGGGATATGGCTCAGTGGCCAAGTGCCCCTGAGTTCAATACCTGGTACCCAGCCCCAAAAAGGGTGGGTGGGTGGGATGTGGCTTAGTGGTAAAGCATGGCTGGGTTCAATCCCTGGTATCAAAAAATTAAAAAGGCAACTAAAGCAAATGGGACCCAGGCAAGGGTGGCATATGCCATTAATCCTAGCGACTCAGAAAACTGAGGCAGGAGGATCACAAACTCAAGGCCAGCATGGGTAACTTATTGAGACCCTGTTAAACTAAAAAGGGCTGGGGATGGAACTCAGTAGTTGAGTACTTGCCGAGCACATGTGAAGCCCTGGGTTCAATCCCTAGTACCACACCCCCTCCCAAAAAAGCAAAATTGGGTCATATATGCAATTGAATATTATTAAAGCTTAAGAAGGAAAGAAATTCTGACAATGCTACAACATATCTGAACCTTAGAGATCTTATAAGACAGTCACAAAAGGAAAAATTCGCTATGATTCCCCTTATTTGAATTAGAACAATCAGAAGCATAGACAAAATAGAACAGGAACTGGGGAGGGAAATGGGTAGTTTGTTTTTTGTTTGGTTTTTTGGTGGTGCTGGGGTTTGAACCCAGGGCCTTGTGCATGCAAGGCAAACTCTAGCAACTGAGCTATATCCCCAGCCTGAGTTAGTATTTAATAGGTACAGGTCTTCTGTTTTGGAAGGTGAAAATCTATTAAATACTAACTCAGGAGAGTTCTGGAGATGGATTGTGGTGATGGTTGCACAACAATATGAATCTATTTTTTGGTGGTACAAGGACTGAACCCAGGGGTGTCTTAACACTGAGCTACATCCTCAGCCCTTTTTATTTTTTGAGACAGGGTCTTGCCAAGTTGCCCAGATTGTCCATGAACTTGTGAGCCTCTTGCCATGGCTTCCCAATTAGCTGGGATTATAGGCATGTGCCACCACACCTAGCCAATGTGAATCTACTCAACGCCATGGAGCTACACACTTAGAAACAATTAAAATGATGTTTTACATTATGTGTATTTTATCACAATTTAAAAAGTGAAGAGGGTGTGGCTCAGTGGCAAAGTGCTTGCCTAACGTGCAGGTGAGACCCTGGGTTCAAACCCCAGCACTAACAACAACAAAAAAAGTGAAAACAACCTGGGAAGCTATCTAGACTGATACCCTCCATTCCATTCTCAGAAGAGTTGA